TTCATGGTGACCTAGAGGAAGAGATCTACATGGAGCAGCTCGAAGGATTCAAAGTTCCGGGCAAAGAAAATTTGGTGTGTCGCTTCACGAAGAGTTTATATGGCCTTAAGCAAGCACCTAGGTAATGGTACAAGAAGTTTGAATCCTTCATGGCAGAACATGAATTCAAAAAGACAGAAAGCGATCATTGTGTCTTCATAAAGAGGTATGCAAGTGGAGACTTCCTCATACTTCTACTCTATGTTGATGATATGTTGATTATTGGACAAGATCGCATAAAGATAGCTGCTTTGAAGAAAGATCTAAGCAAGAGTTTTGCCATGAAAGATTTGGGACCGGCTAAACAAATCCTTGGGATGAGAATAACTCGTGATAGATCAAAGAGACTGTTGTGGCTATCCCAAGAGAGATACATAGAGAAAGTGTTGGAACAATTTAACATGGACAAATGTAAGCCAGTTAACACACCACTTGCTGGACACTTCAGGTTGAGTTCGAAGCAAAGTCCCACAAGTGAGAGAGAAATGGAGGAGATGAAGAAGATTCCATATTCATCTGTAGTAGGCAGTCTCATGTATGCGATGATATGCACAAGACCAGATATCGCCTATGCAGTTGGAGTCGTCAGCCGCTTCTTAGCCAACCCCGGGAATGAACATTGGCTAGCGGTCAAATGGATCCTCCGATACTTACGTGGAACTTCCAAAAGATGCTTATGCTTTGGAAAAGGGAAACCTGTGTTAGAGGGATACACAGATGCAGACTTGGCTGGTGATATTGATTCAAGGAAATCAACATCTGGATACCTAACTACTTTTGTAGGGGGAGCCGTTTCTTGGCAATCAAAACTTGGAGTACATTGTAGCTACTGAAGCTTGCAAAGAGATGCTGTGGATGAAGAACATGCTTCTTGAGCTGGGAGTAGATCAAGAAAGGTATGTGTTAAAGTGTGATAATCAAAGCGTAATATACTTAGCAAAGAAACTCAACATTTCATTCTCGCACGAAGCATATTGACACAAGATATCATTGGATCCGAGAAGTCCTCTAGGAAAAGAAATTGCATCTTGACAAGGTTCACACAGACGAGAACTGGTCAGACATGATGACCAAGGTAATACCGACAAAGAAGTTTGAAGATTGCTGTCAAGGTGCAGGTCTACTACTGCCCCCCAATTAAGTCGGGAGGGGGAGATTTGTTAGGATCCCTCCTTAATTGGAGAGGTTCTAGAAAATTCTAGAGCTTTCTAGAGAAGTATAGAATTTTCTAGAACATTCTAGAGAATCATAGAGAATTGTAGAATTCTCTAGAAGCTTGTGGAATAGTGTGGAACCCTCTGGAACATTCTAGAGATGTGTGGAGCCTTCCGGAACCTTATGGAAGAGTATAGAAGGATATAGAAGGGAGTAGAGATTCCTGGAATGTATGGAGTATTCTAGAGAACCAATCTCAACCCTTGATCCCCACCATTCATTTTGAAGGTGGAGTAGTATAAATAGGGGTAGGAGGCTTCATTCCTATCAATCCAAGCCAAGAGTGAATCCACTTCTTAGAGTGAGAAAGTGAGAAAGCCTCTTTGTGAGAGAAGAGAGATAGTCTCAAGTTTGAGTGTGCCACCATAGAGTGAGTCAATTTTGTAATTACATTCTTGTAATCCTACTATTCTTTTGTATAGTGGAAGAATCTCCATATTGGAGAATTTAACTCGTGTGCTCCCATTACTACCTTTAATTTCTAAGTGCCTATCTTAACTTCACGAAGCGGGAAAGTCCGAGTTTTCCCAACAAAATTAGTTGATACATAATTTAACATTTGTGCCTCCCTCTGTTTCTACAAATGATGAAGAAGAAATGGCTTACCAACTTCTTTCTGAGCTACTCTCACAAATTATCACTCTAACCTTAAACTCATTTTTAACCTAATTTCTCTTCTAACTTAAGTATATGAGCGTTTTTACAATTGTCTTCAACCGCAATTGATACTAAAATAGCTTGGTTGACATTTCGTTGGTGCACTTACAACTTTTGATAAAAACAAAATATAGTATAATATTTAAGTTTAAAATTTTAGTAAAATATAACAATATTTATTAATAATAACAAATTTACATTTAGAATAATAAGTATCAAATTAATATTATATAAATTATAAAAATAAAGATATTAAAAATTATAAATTAACATAAATGATTAAATTATATTTATAGACATAAGTATTAAAAGTAGGTTATTTTAATTACATTTTTTTATTAAATATGTATTTTTCATTAAAAATATTTTGAATTAAATTTTTTAAAATATATTTTTTTATTTGATTAATTCAAACCGATTTGACTGATTTATTATTAATTTTGACCAATTTTAGATCGATTTTTCCGATTTATTACCAATTCATTATAAAATAATTTTTTAAAACAATCAAATTGGTCGAAGATTAATTTACAGTTAAACTGATTTAACCAATCATTATAGTTAGATTTTCAAAATTATGCTTTAAATGTATAAAGACATTATTTAAATTAACATAATTACTCGAGAAACAATTTGTTGCTCAACAAAACAGAGAGAATACACTAGCAAAATACAACACATGTAAAATGATTCTTTTAATATTTAATATTAATAGTGATCTTGAACAAAATACGGGTGTCCATGTCCTTATACAACACTTGCATAACACATTTGTGCTAAATACTACTTAGGACTAATGGAATCTATTCTAATTTGATCACAACTCAATTGCGTTCTTCAGTTGTAGGTCATTTATTTTTTTTCTTTTTTCATAGCATGCAATTTAAGGATGTGCTTTTTACCTTCAAGGTGTTGCTTGAAGGCAAACTCATCACAGCACCATAATGTGCATAGTTCACACCATTTAGGCGTATTTGGAGCCTCCCCACCTTCCCTGATAATTTCCAACATTTGTAATTTAGTCTTATGCTTTTGACCTTGAAAGTGCAGTTTGAGTAAATCGTCATCCATACACATAACGCTACACACTTCACACCATTGCATCTGATTGCTTCTGTCCATTTGCAACTTACGATTATGCTTGTGACCATTGAAGTGTTGCTTGAGATTGAATGGACTTGAGCAAAATATCTGGCAGGTTTTGCAGTATAAATCATCTCTCCTAGTTTTATGATTGGGCCTTCCATGAAATGGTTGTTGATGTAGCAGATTTGGATGAACACTTCTTGTTGGTGATACTGATTCCTTCACCCTGGTTCCTAAAGAAAATTTACTTGAACTTGGACCTGGAAAAGGTTTTGAGTGGGATTGATTGGAAGCATTTTTTGACGATTTAACCTGGAAAATAAGTTTAAATTGTCATTCAGAAAGTGTGGTCTAAAAGAATACCACGAGAGAACAAAATGCAACATACATCAAGATTGAAGTCCCAAACTCTTTTGTGATTGAGACTTCCATGAAATGGTTGTTGAAGTTTTAGATGTTGATGATGAGTACTTTTTGTTGGTGGTTCTTTTCGCTTTGTTGAAAAATTCCTTGAACTTGGACTTGGAAATAGCTTTGGGTAAGAAACATCATTTGATGATTTAACCTGAAAAAAAAATTAGATTGACATAAAAGAAAGTGTTCCAAAAGAATATGACGAGAATAAAAAATGCTCATGTTTGAAAACAAATGATACTCACAAGAAAGTCATATAGGAAAAGAAAAACATATGGGTATAATGAACAAGATATATAATATATGGAATTATTGATGGTTTGGAGCAGAGGAGCTACATTTTGTGAGTAATACTATTATAATAATAATAATAATAATAATAATAATAATAATAATAATAATAATAATAATAATAATAATAATAATAATCACCTCTTTAGTGAAATTTGTATTTGGGGACAAGTGAAATGATGCTACAATTCTCCTATATTCCAGTTCCCTCTGGATTGCAAGCTCCAGTGGCATTGTATTTTCCTCCTTCCTAGTACTACCAGCCATCTTGAATTCTACAGTGATTTCTTTTGAGATAATTCACAGTATTTTTAAGTACCAATGTTATCATAAATAGTATATTAAAAGAGCTACATTGATTGCATGCTAGTAACCGTGAGCCAATGCCAATGGCATGTTTCTTTTGCTTGATTTTTTTAGTACTTGACATGATTCTTTTCAGTAAAAGTCACGCCAATTCTGTTTTGCAAATCAAATGGGCATATTCAGAGTGCAAAGACTTGCCTTGTAAAGACATTTTGTGGCCACTTCTAATAACAAAGAAAAAATAAAAGCAGAAGTCATTCATAACTCATAAGAGTTTAATAACAAACAGAAAATAAATTAATAAAAATATAAGCTTCTTTTATGTTAATGCCACAACAGAGTAAATAAAAATAATTATAGCCATGTTATTAATTTAATTAAAATATTAGACTAATCTTACCTTAACATTATTATTTTTTATCAGTAAATTAACACTAATATATGTATTATGTATGTAATTTGTTTATTTTTCAATACATGACACTTACTCATTCACTACTGATTTATTTTAAAATAAATAATCCATCGTTCATTATAGCATAACATCAAAATTAACATTAATCTATACTTCTATCCTAATAATAAAAATAGTACCATTTTTAGTATCCACAATTTATTTTTAATTTTATCTTTTTGTTAACTACCATAAAAAGGTTAGACAAGACTAAAAACCTTGCTTATTAATTAAACGTTATAAAATAATTTGCTATTCTCTCTTAAAAGGCACAGTACCTTTCATCCTCCTGGTTAGTAAAAGTACGTAATCAAATGGTGAAGAACGTTTGGTTTCTCCATTTTACAATTTAAAACACAGTTCGTGAATTTGTTATTTGTCTTTCGAATAAAAGACGTGTTGATTCACTATCTTACATTGTTTTTCATTTCATGTAAAAGTAAAATCATGGTAACAATCAAACGACAAATTGACAACATAAACCGCAATCAAGTAACAAAGGGCTAAATGCCCTCTCAGTCCCAACACTCAATCTCCAAAATACAATCAAAATCCTACTACGTATTACCAACAAAATTTTTATTCTCTCTCTTTTCACAAATTAGATAAAGACCTTTTTCCTCGAACAGAGTCATGACCAATTTCATAGGTGTTACTCTTGCATGCGGATGAGACACCTAATGGACTCTCCTTTCAGCATGTAATCAAATGCTTTGTTAATCTCTGAGAATGGAACATTGTGAGTGATGAACTTATCCACTTCTAGCTCCTGCAATATCCATTAAGCTCATGTTAGCATCGTAAATAAGTGAACATCCTCTGAAGACCACACAATTCACTGTGTAAGCTTACCCCCCTCATGTACTGTTCCACAACAGATGGAAGATCAGTGCGTGGTTTGTAGTTACCATAAAAGGTACCCTTAAGAGTCCTCTCGTTCAGGAAATTAATAGGAGCAGTTTTGAATGCATCATCTTTACTAGGCACACCAACAAGTACAGCAAGACCCCAACCCTAAGAAGAAGAAATCAAGGTTCAGCCTTATCAAAGTTATTATAAAAACATTAATTTTTGGTTATCTACTTTGAAACATTGTATGAACTATGCCAATAAAAAAAATATAGTTTAATTTAATAATTTAGCAACAAGAGAATGAGTTATGATTTAATTACATCATGGACACATTCAAATGCTGAGATCATGGCTTGGATGCTGCCGGTGCATTCAACAGCGCGATCCACACCTCCATTGGTCATTTCAGCAATTACCTGTTCACCAACATTCACACCTCAATCTTTCTTGTTCCAACAAAGACATTAAGAAGTCATTTATTAATGGCATCAAAATGTAAACACAACTCGTATATTTAACAATAATAGCATTAAAAGAACAGAATTAATGAACATGGTGAAACTATAACAGATAACCACTTGTGCATATTGAACTTAAACAAATTGTTCATGAACTAACCTGTTGTACTGGTTTATCATGTTCTTTTGGGTTCACAAACTCATTAACCCCAAACTTCTTAGCTGCCAACAAAAATAAAAATCACAAGCCACCATCAATAAACCAAAAGCAATTTCGTTAGGCTGTGCTGAATCTTTAAACATATGATTAAGAAGAATGCATTATACCTTGTTCAAATCTGGCTGAAACTAAATCAATTCCAATGATTCTTGAAGCACCTGAAATCCTTGCCCCTTCAGCAGCCTAAAATATTGAATGAAAAAATAAGAGTGGGAATTAATATTCCTCTATATCATCACTTACCAATTCCTAAAAAAAAGCATTAAAAACACGCAAGGAATAACATACCGCAAGGCCAACAGCTCCAAGTCCAAAAATGGCAACAGAGGAACCAGGTTTTGGTTTTGCTACATTTACAGTAGCACCAAGACCTACAAGATGGAACCAAATATAGCTATATCAGACAATATAATCACGTAGCTAGTTTGCTACTTGCAAACAATATATATCTATCTCAATTCTTAAGGTTGTAAATCTTCCAAACCTGTGCAAATTCCGCAACTGAGAACACAAACTTTGTCAAGTGGAGCATCAGGGTTGATCTTTGCAACACATCCAGCATGGATAACAGTGTATTCACTGAAAGTAGAGGTTCCCAAGAAATGGTGTATCGGTTGTCCATCCTTAGAGAACCTTGATTTCCCATCATTAATCATGACACCTCTATCAGTGTTGATCCTGAGTAGCTCACACATGTTGCTCTCTTCTGACTTACAATGTACACACTCCCCGCACTCTCCTGTGAACACAGGGAGGGCATGGTCTCCTGGTTCCAAATGAGTTACACCCTCGCCTACACTCTCCACAATCCTGAATAAAACAATGGAAATCCGATAAGAAATTGCTCATTAATCATTATCGATGAACCATTTCTTTCTCTATCTTCTTTTGGCCTTTAATGGCACATATTTGTTGTGCAAAAACAGGAAAGAAAAGTTTGACTTAAATTAAATGAGCAAATGAGGCTAAGATACCCTGAAGCTTCATGGCCAAAAATGCGAGGAAACAATGGAGTCTGGCCCTGAAATGAGAAAAAAAATAGAAAGTCAAATTCAACATTGATGAACTGATGATGGATAATAATAAATAGCACATGGAATCAGCTGAACAGAAGGGAAAACAATACCTAGGTTTCCAATCATTCCAAAATCAGTCGTTGACAAAATCAACCACGTATACAAACACACATAACACACCAAGAATGTTTTGAAATATGAACCTTTAATTGTCTTATCAACAACTAAAACTATTTTCTTTACCCTTTCTCACATTAGAGAAGTCACATCTCACAGAGAAAAGAACTAAAACCATCCTTCAATGGACATTATATCTGCATTTTCTAATCACAATATATTTCTTATTTCATCAATTCAAAGTTCATACCAGATCATATATATAATCTTAATTTAACTAAGATAATGTAATGCAAATATACATTAATAAAATAAAGATAATTTTTTAAACATTTGTATGCAAACCTTGGCTTCCCAGAAGTAAACATCAGTGTGGCAAAGAGAGGTGTAGAGGATCTTGAGACGGACTTCACCGGCTTGTGGTGGCGCCACCTCTACTTCGTCAATCACCAGTGGCTTCCCTGCCTCCCATGAAACCGCAGCTATAGTCCACCATACACCCACACCAATCAATGCAATCAGTAACAATACATTATCACATAAAAGAAAATGGAGAAAGAAAAAATTAAATTACACTTTTCCTCCCTCAATTTACTCGATTTATCAAGTTTGGTCACTATTCCTTAAATTTCTAAAATATAATATGATCATTTCTTTCCAACTGTGACTAACTAACAATGAGTGTCACATTTTCTTATTGTGCCAAATGTATAAAAAATAACCAACATTATTAGTCTCTATCAGGCAAAAAGCACTACACTCCATCGATTAGAAAAATCTAGAAACTAACAAGGAGACCAAATTGAATAAATTTCATAAGATAAATTATCAAAAGGGTAATTAAAAAAATTGATGTTATTAATAAGAGTTAAGTAAGAGATGGGTAACCTTTGCACTTTATGGTTTGACCAGCGGTGCTAGACATGGCTGTGGCTAGTTAATTGAAAAGAAGATGAACGAATGATGATGAGTGAGTTTGTTTTGAGATGAAAGTGTGTGTGTTGGGGGATGGTACTTATAGTGCGAGAGAGAAGAAGGAAAATGGGCAAAACCACGTTGCGCACGGTATCGGTTGTCTGCGCCAACATCGAAATCGAATGGCCATGCATGGTGGGAATTCTCGCTTTTTTCTGCGCGCTGTTTAACTCTACTACAATTCCGCCTGTGGTTTTTGGTTCGTTTTCCACGCTGCGCCTTTGGATTCTTTGCACGTCGCCACGTAACTTTGACCACATTATACCAAAAAAGACAAATTCTATTCCAACTCATTTATTATTTTTTTGTCACTTGCACAATAAACACTATTTAAAAATTTCTATATTAAATTAGAATAAAACAATAACATAAAATTATGTATAAAATAAAAATATACAATATAATCTATTATATTAAACTCAAATGAAATTCATATCAATTTCTATTTATTATATATGAACATTTATTCTATGTAAGAATATTTTTAGAGATTTTTTTAAAGGATTTATAATAATTTTTAATTTTTTTTATCTAATTCGATTTTTATTTATCATAATTATTTAATATTAATATTTTATAATAAATTATCAATAAATAAAAATAAATTTTACGTGATAATATAAATTATTTATTATAAATTTAA